GCTTCCCCTCCCGGGCTCCAACTGCGCTGGGCAAGCGCCGGCCGGGGGCGCAGGGTCTAGGGGCTGCCCGGCAAACCGTGAAGCCGGTAGCGCTCGGGCAGCCCTTTCCCCGTGGCTGGGAGTGGGAGGGAGGAGGGGGCGGAGTTAGGGCGGGGCTGGGGGTGGGGAAATGGGCGGGGCCAGGGCCCGTGGAGGGTCCTCTTTTTTTATTTAATAGATATTGTAACCCTAGTGAAAGGGACAGGTGATAGAGGAACACAGAAGACAAGTGGAGTGAGGCTGAAGAGAAAGAAAGTTTAGAGTAAAAAGTGAAAAAAGCAACCAGACTGAAAAAATCATTACTGTCCAAAAGTCCCAGCTGCTTCTGCTTTTCTCTGCTTTTGTTGGCTGTATTTCTGGGTGGCCCTCCCTCAACAGTTTTTGTTCCCCAGTCTTACATGGTTAGGGCCCATGGGCCTTGGAATGAGGAAGTCTCCCTACAGAGTTCAGGGTCCGGGAGTACTGGGAGGGAGAACACCAACTGGGCTTGGTTCCCCTACCTCTTTCTCCCTAATGGTGCTATTGTACCTACTTGCTTCTGCTGCTGCCAACAGATATTGTCTGGATATTATCTTTTAAATTGCACTCCATAAAGAGGATCTTTGAGGCTCTTGAAAAGTACAAAACATAAAGTATTCTTAATTTGGAAGGCAGGGAAACTGAAAAATGTTAATGATGGTATTATTAAATTTATTGCATTTCAGTTTTAAAGATCACCTTGTAAAGGAAATTTTTTTAAATTGATTTTTGTTCTTACTTTATGATAAAGGGTTGAAAGGATTTTTTTAAAGGGTTGTTTTCTGGTTGCTTACTACTTTTTGAAATACATGGAATGTAAAGTTTGTCTTTCCTGATTTTGCTGGAGGACGTCCAGGTGATTTCAGTGATACACCTCTACCCTGATATAACGCGACCCGATATAACACGAATTTGGATATAACGCAGTAAAGCAGCGCTCCGGGAGGGTGGGGCTGCGCACTCTGGTGGATCAAAGCAAGTTCGATATAACACGGTTTCACCTATAATGGGGTAAGATTTTTTGGCTCCTGAGGACAATGTTATATCGAGGTAGAGGTGTATTTACTGTGAGATCTAGCACTGTAATTAAAAGGTTGAAGGTACTGAATCTTTTAAAAGAAAAAATTCCATTATCCAAAATAGTAATTAGTCATTCACGTTAAAAGTTGTTAATGAAAAAATCAAATTTTAAACTGTCTGACTAAAAAATCCCTTTCCTTCTGAAATAGTGAACTTTAAACTCTCTTGACTCTTGTGATTTCATCACTTCATTAGTTCTCCAGCCACTGTAGAGTCTTCCGGCTAAGATAAGATCTGAATTCCTAACTTAAAGAAAAAAGCAGGGGGAATAAACCCTTTATATTTTTTTACATACATTGTAAACAATCAAAAAAAAGGGAAGAAAACACAAGCCTAATTATTTTCTTTTGCACATTATCTTTAAATCTCTGTTTAAATAGTGGTGGCTTATGTTATGTGGAACCAGTGATGCATGTCTGACATAACTGGCAGCAGGATGTGTCAGCATTTCGAATATATACTTTCAATTTCAGGGGTCTTTTAAATTGGCTGCAAAATTTTTGACACTTAGGATCTGTATTGAAGTAACTACTCTGAAAAGTGATTTTCTGAAAATGGTGTCATTGGGTCTCAGTAGCTTCTAGCACAAAACTGTAGTCTTTTATTTCTTTCCTAACTGCCGGCCCTGCAAAACTAACGTGAAATTTAAAAGTCAAGCTGGGTTTTTTTCTGGCTTATGCATCACCAACAAAGATTCTACAGTCAGAACAATCTGATGATGGTACACCAGCCCTTTCTGTTAGCTGTGTTGGCTCTACAGTGTGAGCAGGACTAATGCGAAGTAAATACCTAAGTGTAATAATGTGGGAACACAGGTGACCCTACATACTGTTGTGGTTCAGGTAGTGGAAGGAAACTTAGTGAATCTGAAGAGAAAATATTCCCTTCATGCCCCCCTCCAAGAAGGCTATGCCGCAGTAATCTGGAAAAGCATTAGGCTACGGCACCCGAAATGTTACTGTGGCTCCACCACTGTAGTATAGACACTTACTACAACAACGAAAGGGGTTCTTCCCTCATTGTAATAAATCCACCTCTCTAAGAGGTGATAGGTCAGCGGAAATCTAGATGTGTTTACACTAGGGGTTAGATTGGCTTAACTATGTGTTTCAGGGGTGTGCATTTTGCACACCCCTGAGCGGCATAGCTAGGTCGACCTCAGTTTTAGGTGTAGACCAGCCCTGAGTCTTGCTACGTTTCTGACACGTAGAAATTTTAATATGATATTTAATTACAATGTATATGCTTTGCATACAGTTTTGAACTGTTGACTATGTAATCGTTATATGTGCCACGTGACCAAGTAGCATAAACTTTTAAGTAACACAGACAAGGTAACTGAAATGTTAAAAGGGGAAAAAGTTGGAAAGTTAGGAGTAGGGAGTCTTACCAAAAGGGAAGACAATGTTAAACTTTAAGGAACATTTTATGAATGCTCCCCCCCCAAAAACCAAACAAATGAAAAACCACAACTGCATACTAAATACAAAGAATAGTTGAATTGAGCAGAAAGGACACCTGAAGAGGTATATGGGAAATACTCAAAATTAAGTTTCGGGAAACAAAACAAATGTGTTTTTTTTTTTGTTTTTTTTTTTAATTTTGAGAAATACACTGGAGGTATTTGTCAGTGACAGTGGCTTCCCTTACCCCCTCAGTGTGGATGACCAGGGAAATACACAGAACAATAAACAGAAGAATATATACAACTTTAAAAATCAATAAGGTCTTTGGTATAAAGAGAAGGACATACGAGTCTAAAGTAAAAAGACTGGCTAACCTAGTGAGCAGGGCTTTAAACTAGGTTAGAAGGGGGCAGGTGACCGAAGCCCACAGGTAAGTCAAGACCTGGGAGAAGGTTTGGAATTTGTGTGGGGGAGCATGGGCTGTTACAGCAGGGATAAAGGAGAGACAAGACAGAACTGGGGGGGAATCAAATCAGTATCTTAGATGTCTGTACACTAATGCTAGAACTATGGGGAATAAGCAGGAAGAACTCAAAATGCTAGTAAATAAGCACAGCTATGACATAGTTGACATCACAGAGACTGGTGGGATAATATGCATGACTGGAATATTGGTATAGAAGGGTACAGTTTGGTCAGGAAGGACAGGCAGGGAAGAAAAGGGAGGAGGTGTTGCCTTATATACTTAGACCGAGGTTGAGATGGAAATAGGAGACAGACTTGTTGAAAGTCTCTGGGTAAGGATAAAAGGGGTAAAAAAAAAAGGGTGATGTCATGGTAGGGATCTACTACAGACGGCCTAACCACCTACGATACTTGTTTCGCCCTTACCAGGAAAGCCGACAGGGACAACAGCACATATCACATGCTAAGCCTCAGCCAATCACTGATTTTACTGTTCAAGCTTTCTGATTGGCTCCCGGCCCCAGGCTCAGACAATCAAAAACAAGTGGCAAGGCTACCCAGCAACAAACTACCCTGGCCATGGAAGCCAATCAGACAAGAGCCTGCAAGAGACCCCCTTCCAGCTCCATTAATTATAACGCGATCACAAAGTTATTTACAAGCAACTCGGTAAAAAGCAAGCCCAATTCTGCATAGTATGTTGCTGGCATTCTGAGCAGTTGCCTGCCTCCCTGGCTGTCTGCCTAGCCTGTCTCCCAACATTGAACGCATTGCATCTGTGAATAGAGGCATATCCAACACATAAAGCTGCTACAGAGAAATTTACAAGAAGAAGAGGAGACCATCTGTCCAAACTTCCTTGGACACTTTTTTTAAGACTGCAAGAAGACTCCAGAGAAACCTGCAGCCCAGGCTTCAGAGAAGCCCCCAGCCAAAGAGTTCTGGAATGTCAAAGCACATGTGATTAGTCATCTATAATTCATTTAATACAAAAATCTGGGTTATTGTGGTGAAAATAGTGTATCAAGCCTTGATTCAGGACCCAATCCCCCCTTTATACCGTTGATTCCTATGGGAAAAGCAGTTTTGACTTAAGTTTCGACTTACAACGCAATTCTGAGGAATGAATTGTGTCGTAAGTCCGAGATTCCCTGTACTACATCCCCGCCAGAGGGATAGACTTCCTCTTCTCCCACCCGCCTCCTAATTCCTTGGTGGTCGACGCCACTAATGATCGCGGAAAACAACAACAGTTTAGATCAGTGGTCTCCAACCTTTTTATGCCCAAGATCACTTTTTGAATCTAAGGGCAACCCAGGATCTAACCCTCCCCTTCCCCAAAGCCCCGCCCCCTCCATTCCCCCCTCTTGGTCGCTCACTCTCCCCCACCCTCACTCACTTTCATCGGGCTGGGGCAGGGGGTTGGAGTTTGGGAGGAGGTGCAGGCTCTTGGCTGGGGCCAGGGGGTTCACAGTGTGGGAGGGGGCTCTAGGCTGAGCTTGGGGCAGGGGGTTGGGGTGCAGGAGGGGGTGAGGGGTGCAAGCTCTAGGAGGGAGTTTGGGTGCAGGAAGGTGGTCCGGGCTGGGGCACAGTGTTGGGGTGCAGGAGGGGGTACAGGGTGCTGGCTCTGGGAGGAGGGGCAGGGTGTTGGTGCAGGAGCGGGTATGGGGTGCTGGCTCTGGAAGGGGGCTGGGGCAGGGTGTTGGGGTGCAGGAGGGGGTATAGGGGGCTGGCTTTGGGAGGGGGTTCAAGGCTGGGGCTTTGGGTGCAGGAGGGGGTTCGGGGTGCTGGCTCCGGGAGGGGGCTCAGGGCAGGGGCTTGGGGTTCAAGAGGGGGTTTAGGGTGCAGTAGGGGGTTTGGGATGCTGGCTCTGGGAGGGGCTTGGGGTGCAGGAGGGAGTTCGGGGTGAAGAAGGGGGTATGAGGTGCTGGCTCCGGGAGAAGGCTCAGGGATGGAGATTGGGATGTGACCTCCTGCCGGGCAGCACTTGCCTCTGGCAGCTCCTGGTCGGCGGCGGGCACAGTGAGGTCAAGGCAGGCTCCCTGCCTACCCCAGCCCCACACCACTCCCGGAAGGGATCAACACGCCCCGATGGGGGAGGGCGGAGGGAGGGCACGTGGCTCCGTGTGCTGCCCCTCTCTGCAAGCAGAATGGGAGCTGCGGAGGCGGTGCTTGCAGGCAGGAGCAGGCCACTTTTGGGAGCAGCATGGGAGGGAGTCTGCCTTAGCAGCAGCCACACTACACCGCCGGAGATTGCAATCAGCTGGGAGATCCTCTAGGACAGGGGTCGGCAACCTTTCAGAAGTGGTGTGCGAGTCTTCATGTATTCACTCTAATTTAAGGTTTCGCGTGCCAGTAGTACATTTTAACATTTTTAGAAGGTCTCTTTCTATAAGTCTATAATATATAACTAAACTATTGTTGTATGTAAAGTAAATATAGTTTTTAAAATGTTTAAGAAGCTTCATTTAAAATTAAATTAAAATGCAGAGCCCCCTGGACCGGTGGCCAGGACCCGGGCAGTGTGAGTGCCACTGAAAATCAGCTCACGTGCTGCCTTTGGCACGCGTGCCATAGGTTGCCTACCCCTGCTCTAGGATCTACCAGTCGATCGTGATCGACCAGTTGGTGATCACGGGTTTAGATCGACCCCACAAGACAAGGAACACAAAACGCTCAACCTTTTCGGACGAAAAGTTTACTCCTTGGCGACGCTACAATTCAGAGTTGCCAACTATTCCGCTTTATTAGCTAAATATGTTTATGATAATTATGGTGAGCTCTTTCACTGAGGAGCTTCCAGAGGAGAAACAAACACATTTCAAGGCTATTCTAAATGAGGGGCAGCTCGTTGCTTGAACAGCCCTCCAAGTGTCCTTGGACGTAGCGGACACGACAGCTATGACCATGGCCACAGCCCTGGTATTGCATCGAGCATCCTGGTTACAATCCTTTGGCATACCTGAAGAACTCCAAACCAAAGCCGAGGACCTACTTTTCGACCGAGAGAAACTATTTTCAACCAAGACAGATGAGGTGCTCCACTCGATGAAAGATTCTAGAGCCACTCTTCGCACTTTGAGGATCTACACTTCACCTGCGAAGAGAAGACAATACCAGCCTTATCAGAGGAACAGAGATTCCTCATCCAGCCGAAAGCAACAGAGGGAATACGAGAACCAAAGATGATAACGTTTGCAGCGATGGAGAGCACCTCAATCTCAACCCTTGACATCTCAAACAGCTGCACTCAAACAACAATTTAGAAGTTTTAGTCGAGGGTCTGAACCAGGGGTCTCAAACTCAAATGACCACGAGGGCCACATGAGGTCTAGTGCATTGACCCGAGGGCCGCATCACTGACACCCCCCCTCGCTGCCTCTGGCCCCGCCCCACTCCACCCCTTCCATTAGGCCCCGCCCCTGCCCTGTCTCTTCCCACCCCTTCCCTGCCCCATTTGAACCCCTTCCCCGAAGTCCCCACCCCAACGCTGCCCCCAGGGGGTGTAGAAAGGGTGCAGGTTGCGGCAGGGGCTCAGGGCAGGGAGTTGGGGTGCAGGAGGTGTGCAGGGTGCGGCAAGGGGCTCAGGGCAGGGAGTGCAGGAGGGGTGCGGGATGCGGCATGGGGCTCAGGGCAGGGAGTTGGGGTGTGGGATGTGTCCTGTTCAACAACTGGACTTCATTGGGGCACATCTCAACGCCATAGAGGCCAAAGCATCCCTATCACGGAACAGATTCACAACACTGACAAACCTTATCTCAGAGGGCAGAGTCAGCCCCCAAATACTGGCCTGTATAGGTCTGCAACTGCTAGGACACATGGCAGCCACAGCGTTTGTGGTACAACACGCAAGACTACATATGCGTTGCCTACAGGGCTGGTTGAGCTCAATATACATACCCAGCAAGCACAGCCTACACAAATGATTTACAGTACCACCTTCGGTCTTGGACTCTCTACACTGGTGGACAAGACCAGAAAATGTATGCATGGGCATCCCATTCCAACAAGAATCCCCCAAAATAGTCATCACCACAGACGCCTCGCTGATAGGCTGGGGCGCCCACATGCATCAGCACACGGTTCAAGGCAAATGGTCTCCTGCGGAGGCCCACTTACACATCAACCTACTAGAGTTACGCATGGTACTCAATGCCTGCAGATATTTCCTACCACACATAAAGAACAAATCAATTCGCATAATAACCAACAACAGGTTTACATCAATCACCAAGGGGAGGGGAGGCTCGATCTCTCTCACTATGCACCGAAGCCATGAAACTGTGGAACTGGTGCATACGCCACAACATAAACATTTGGCCTCCTACCTTTCCGGCTGTCAGAACTCAACGGCGGACACGCTAAGCAGATACTTCTCTTGAGACCATGAATGGGAAGTGAACGAGGGAGTCCTGCAATCTATTTTCCACTGTTGGGGCTCTCTCCTCATCGACTTATTTGCATTCCCAATGAACCACAAATGCCCAATGTTCTGCTTGACAGTGGGGATGGGACCGCGATCACTGGAGGGCACCTCCCTCATCACATGGGGGACACATCTCATGTACGTGTTCCCACAGATCCCCTTGATATCTTGAGTAATACACAAGATACGAATAGACAAGGTCATCCTGAGAGTCCCGATGTGACCCAGACAAGCCTGGTACCCTTACTGATGCGCATGGCGATATGTGCTCCTCGAGCTCTCCCTCACTATCTGGACCTGTTGTCGGAGAACAACGATCGCACTCTTCACCCAAATCCGGATAAACTCCACCTACGAGTGTGGCTCCTGCATGGTTCCATCATGGCGATCTAACCTGTTCAGAACAAGGCTAAACAGCAGGAAATTGACATGCATAATACTTAATTTAAAAAGTGGAAAAGATTCTCCTCATGGTGTCAAGAGAAATAATTGACAACCTCCACAACACCACTACCGATAGTGCTGGAATACCTGTTGGAGCTAAAATGCTCGATCAAAGTACATCTTGCAGCCATTATAGCATTCTATCATGATATCAAAGGGACCTCAATCTTCGCACACTCTATTACTAAACACTCCCACACAGGCCTCCAGAACATTTACCCGGAGGTTCGCCAACCTACTCCAGCCTGGGATCTCAATCTGGTATTGAAATGCCTCAGTAGACCACCATTTGAACCCTTAGCCATTTGTTCCCTACTGCATTTGTCCATGAAAGTGGCATTTCTGGTCGTTATTATTTTCGCCAGATGCGTGAATGAGATATGGGCCTCATGGCCGATCCTCCCTACACAGTATTCTTCAAAGACAAGGTCACACTACAACCACACCCAGAATTTCTACCGAAGATAGCATCATCATTTCATATAAACCAACCAATTCATCTTCCCACATTCCATCCAAAACCATATGGGACTCCCAACAGAAACCGTCTTGCATACATTTAGACGTTAGATGTGCATTAGCTTTCTATTTGCATTAGCTTTCCGAAAGTCCCCTAGACTTTTCATGTCTACTACTGAGCGTTTGAAAGGATGCACAGTTTCCATTCAGTGATTAGCTAAATGGATCTCCACATGCATTCAACAATGCTAACGAATTCAGAACATGGACCCTCCTACACACATCAGAGTAGGGTGACCAGATGTCCCGATTTTATAGACAGTGTCCCGATTTTTGGATCTTTTTCTTATACAGGCTCCTATTACCCCCTACCTCCGTCCCGATTTTTCACACTTGCTGTCTGGTCACTCTACATCAGAGCTTATTCCACATGCTCATTATCGACCTCGATAGCGTTCCTAAACAATGCACTTATAATTGAAATTTGTAGAGCATCCATTTGGGCCTCTGTCCACACATTCACTGATCAGTATGCAATCACTCAAGGCTCTGGATCCGATGCCATGGTTGGTCTAACCGTACTTACCTCTACAACACAAATGAACCTGAAGTCCCTCCCGCCCTCTATGGGGCACTGCTCTTCAGTCACCTGAAGTGGAGCACCCACATGGACAGCACTCAAAGAAGAAGAGAAGGTTACTCACCTTGTACAGTAACTGAGGTTCTTCAAGATGTGTGTCCCTTGGGTGCTCCACTACCCACCTCCTCCCCTCTACTTCGGAGTTTGCAGTAAAGACTCCATGATAGAGAAGGAACTGGAGGGATCGAGTCGTGCGTGTGCGAGATGCAGCACCAATGGCACCGCGAGATACCTTTGGCACACATGTGGCCCGCGTGGACACTGCTACCATAAATCTCCGATTGGTTCTGGGACGCACCAACATCTGAAGTGGAGCACCCACAGGGGGACACATCTCGAACTTCAACCATTCCATTTGTTGATTGTAATCATGGCCAAATGCCTTAATTGTACAGTTCATTTCCGCTCAAAGCAGTTTTTCTTTATATCTAGGAATCATTCATCTACCTCTTGATTTGTAACATGGCAGTTCTCAGCTAGCAACTCCCTGTACAATGGTTTTAAAAATAATTTTATTAGAAAATAAAATCTCTCTCCAGTTTTTAACCTTCTGCCATTGTAATCATTATCCAAATTGCCACCAACTTCAGGGGTGCAGGATCACAGCGTTAAGGTTTTTCAAAATACTGAAAAGTAAATCGTTCTACTTTAGGATCATTTAGCTGTTTTGAAGATAAAACTAGATTGCATAGTGACTTTGTGCATCATTTATGACTCTGTTTTGAATAAGCTGAAGCAGTAGATTTGGCTTCATTTCTGGAGTGATGAAGCAGTTAATATGAATAGAATTGGATTGGAATATGAGTTCTAATACCTTGTCTCATTCCTATACAGGGGAGTGAAAGATGTACTGAAAAAGAGGTTGAAGAATTACTATAAGAAGCAGAAACTAATGCAGAAGGAGCCCACTAATGGAGACAGTTACTATGATTACATCTGTGTTATTGACTTTGAAGCAACCTGTGAAGAGGACAATCAGCCTGAATTTACACATGAAATAATTGAATTTCCTATTGTTTTATTAAATACTCATACCCTAGAAATAGTAAGTGACCTATTTGCTTTGCCTCTTGTGCTCTTTGCTTCAAAAAGTAGGGACTGATCAGTTTTTAAATAGTTACAGAACTTGGAGTTTAAAGGGACACAGCTAACATACAGCCAGTTTTTCTTTATTTAAAAGAGAGTGCAGCGGGAATGATATTTGCTTCTGCATTTATTTTTATTTTTGTTTTTAAAGACCAGATTTGAAGTTGACCATGTCCCTTAAACAATTATACTTTGCATTTTTATATCTGGGTAATATACTTACTCCTGGGTTCTTCTGCCCTTGTTTGGCTTCCCATTTTTTAAATGTCTGGTTTTCTCCAGGAGCCACGGAAACAGGAGAAACAAGTGCTCTCACATGCATAAAATAATTTTTTTCACGTAATCTTTTTTTTTTTTTCCAGTTATGGTAATCTTAGAGCTAGTCTATATTAGAAAACTTGCACTATTGTAATTAAGTCAATTTAATATCAATCTAGTTGCACCAGTGCACATTTTCTAAAATGGATAAGGTCTTAATTGTATATTGTAAATAATCAGGTAGAAATGTGACTTAAGTAGATGTTGCTGTATCTTTGTGTATACCTGTGTCCAGTTCAACCAACAGTCATTTAGAGTAGAGTCCTCAAAATCTTCCCTATGTTGACAACATCCCTTAAGATCCTCTCCATCTTCAGAGAGACAAAACTAGAATAATACCTGGTGGTATATGTGGTGGTCTAGATCCTCAGAGTGATGTTCACTTGGCTACCGGATAGGATTGTTTGTGGTTTAGTTAATAGTTCCTCATCTATAAAATGGGGATACTTAAAACAGATTAAGGGACTTGCTGAAGGCCTCACTGCCAGTCAGAGCTAGGTTTAGGAGCCAGGAATTCTTGGCTTCCAGCTCTGAGCTCAGTTCATTACACCAACTCCAGGATAAGGCAGCATGTTCCTAAACATGGAGTTTTCTCCAGTTTGGCTTTCTTATAGTGCTGGTCAGAGATTAATCAGTAGTGTTATGTCTTCACTGCAGAGTTAACTCAGATAATCAGCACCCAGGTTAGCTTAGCCTGAGTATGAGCAGCAACACTGCAAAGCCACACCTTCATTCAAAGTTGTACCTTCATTAGTGCTGCACTAACTGGGGTCCCATTTTTCTTTAAGCTGTAGTAAGTTGAGCTGCTCTGATTCTTTCCCAGTGAATTGTGGGAGAATTTTTTCCCTTCTGGGCACACAAGTGGGATTTGGGGAAGGCATTGGAGTATTAACCGCATTTTAGTGGTTTAGCCTGCATTCTCACTGCAAACTGGGTGGGTTATGAGCCCAAGTGAAAGCCTCACTCCATCTTTAGCATGTTGAGCCAGCCAGTTCAGGTTGAAAACGCCGTTAATCTTGGGTCAGAGGTCTTTGTGTGTGGATGGAAGCTGGATGAGGAGCAACACCTGAATAAGAGCCCCGGGTTCACTCTGCAGCGAAGGCAAATGTTCGTTACCCTGTTGGGACCTCAGTGCATAATCTCTAAAGCCTGGCCTGCACTTAAAACCTTTGCTGCTATAGCTACGTTGGTTACAGGTAATATTTTATTTATTTATTTAAACAACATAGCTACCAGTAAAACTAATATATATTCAATTATACTGGTATGAGCTCTCTTATGCTGAGAGAATTATATCCACACTGGAGAGTATTTTGGTATAACTACACCAGCAAAACTGTCTAGGCTTGGTAAGGTCTACTTCATATGGCCCTACAGAAGTTAGTAGTAGCCAAAGATTAACTCTTGGGCTTTCCATTTGATGGAGTGCAAAAGAGAGAGGATCATGCAGTTAGCAACATGATGAAACCCAGCATATATGTGCACCTCAGCTGATAGATATATCAGGAAGCTTTAGGAACAGAGGTCATCCAACAATCAAATCATATCACATCAGAGTGCAGCCCATGGCTTCCCTGTAACTTCAGTTGATGAGGGAAAACAAGCAATTCCTAGTCATCTATCAAAGATGACACATGGAAGCAAATATATTTATGTAGATTTTATTTTTGGTAAATGATTTTTACCTTGGAACCGTATATCACAAAATTTTTGTAGTCATTTAATTACATTATTGCAGTCCCATTTATTTGGTAAACTTCAAATGATGGACAATGGCTACTAAAGAGGGCTCAAATATAAATATTATCTGGCTGTTTGATAGTTAACCATTCTTTTCACACACAAGGCTAAAAATCCTATGAAACCTGACTTGTGATTGTACGTTTCGCCATGTCGCTGTAAAATATTTGACTTTTTTATCCTCAGTTCCTTATTTTATCCTCTCTTGTAGGAGGATACCTTTCAACAGTATGTGAAACCAGAGATTAATCCCCAGCTTTCAAACTTCTGCATCAATCTGACAGGAATCACTCAGGTAACATCTTCCATATCTGTGAGTCCAGACACAAGTATGAATGAAAAGGTTACGTTTTGTCAAGGTTTTTAGATTTAAGTTTCAGTGTATGGTTTTAGGGCTTACTTTCCTGATTTTATCCCTCCCTTCTCCTTCTCACCACTTAATTTGTTTCTGAATCAGTCCTTCAAGCAGCAAAGTTGGGAGCTCAGAGGAGAAGCACAGATTTATTCCAAGTCCAAATATATGCAAACCTGTACAGATAGCCCAAGGATTACATGACTGTTAAGAATTAAATCTTTGCTCTTTTTGCTTGAAGATGGGTTTTTAAAAGAGTTATATTTAGGGGAATTGGAAATGTAGACTTACAACAATAATACATCTTTTAAAGTAAGTACAGTTTAAGGCCTAAAACCCTTGAAGTCCTTATTAGTTTTCTTAGGCCTTGTCTACACTGCCACTTTACAGCGCTGAAACTTTCTCGCTCAATGGTGTGAAAAAACGCCCCCCTGAGCGATGCAAGTTTCAGCACTGTAAAGTGGCAGTGTAGACAGTGCACCGGCTGTTCCCCTTGCGGGGGTGGGGTTTTTTTTACAGTGCTGGGAGAGCTCTCTCACAGCGCTGGTGCCACGACTAAATAGCCAGGTTAAAGCGCTGACGTGGCACATACCCTAAGTTTCCACCCATTCCAGGGCCTCTTCAGCACTTTTGTAATGCCGTTGCTGAAGAGCTTAGCCAAGAACTCATCAGATTTTGACTAGTTTGGATTAGTTCATGAATGATGTAATGAGCCACGTTTCTCCACTTTACAAACCAGCTTAAAACTACTATGGACTGTTCTCAGTGTAGATCAGGGGTGGGCAAACTTTTGGGCCGAGGGTCACATCTGGGTGGGGAAATTGTATGCAGGGCAGGGGGTTGGGGTGTGGGAGGGGATGCAGTGTGCAGGAAGGGGCTCAGGGCAAGGGATTGGGGCAGAGGAGGGGTTTGCCCACCCCTAGTGTAGATGTTCAATCTGTCTTTGGTGCATAGACTGAGGTATTGTTTCTGATTTCTGTGTTCAGACCTCGTGTGTGTACAGTAAATGTCTGATGAACATCAAAACTTGCTGCTTTCGTGGTTGTGTTTTGGTTTTTGAGAGAAGGGAGTTTTCTGGTATCTGTTTTTACTTCCACCAACAATAAAGATTGTGCATTAGTGATAATTCCTCTTTAATGGCTGGACATGGATCCTCTATAGCTGCCAGTTTCCTGCCTGCCCAAAGAATCTTAAATGGTTGCAAGATGACTGGTAGTGGTTTTAGTTTAGTTCTGGATTTTAATCTAAGTTCTGTCACTGGCTGACTACTTGATTTACTGCAGATCACTTAGATCCTGATTTTTAGAAGTATTGAGATGTTGTTTTCAGTGTTGCAATGCCTAACTGATTTAGGAGCCTAAATTGACTGTCAATGGGATTTAGGCTCCTACATGTCTAAATCACTTTAAAAAAGATTTAGGCTGCTAAATCAACTAGCCATTTTAACAGTGAGTGCAGCAGTGCCTCAGTATCTTTAAAAATCTGGGCTCTTAAGGTCTGATTTTCATTCCCACCCTCCCATAGGTTGTGTTAATTGGATCTTTGAATACTTACTACCTATGAAAATCAGGCTCTTAAGCTCTCTTTGTCTCTGAAACTGGGATAATGCGTAGCCATCTCAGAGGGGTTTTGTGATCCCCTCTTGTTTAAATGTTTTTAGTTCATTGGAAGTATGTAGTGTTAGTTCCTGTTTAACTGTAATGTCTTACACTACACATTTTCTTTTAGAAAACGTACCTGACTTTTGTTTTTATGTATTCTCAGGACCACGTAGACAAAGCTGATGCATTTCCTCAGGTTCTACAAAATGTTGTAGAGTGGATGAGACAGAGAGAGCTGGGAACCAAATATAGCTATACCATATTGACTGATGGGTATGTCTTGGAAAGCAGGGTGCAAATTTTATATAGTAATCTTTTAAATGCATTTTAAAACTGCAAAGCAATTCTTAGATTAATCTACTTTTTGTAACCGGTATTGCCAAAATTAGAATGTAACATTGGCCCTAAGAGCACACGAGAGTACTTTCTTTTTCATTTGGGCTATAGATCTGAAAATGAAATTGAGTAGGGCTTGAATCCACTAGGTGGCACCAATTATTTTCCAGCATTCTCCTGAGTCCAAAATGAAAGCTTTACACACTTTTCATATCCTTAATAAAATTAACAAATATGAGTGCAAAATATAACAGGCAGTATTGAGGTTGTGTAATTAGATTAAAAATCATGAAAATATGAAAGTTGACGTTCTAGAAGCAGTGTTAATGTTGGCTACATATTTCAGAGTGGTAGCTGTGTTAGTCTGTATCAGCTAAAAGAACGAGGAGTACTTGTGGCACCTTAGACACTAACATTTATTTGAGCATAAGCTTTCATGGGTTAGTCTTTAAGGTGCCACAAGTACTCCTCGTTCTTTCTGTTGGCTACATAATACATCTTATGCTTTACATTACCATTACCTGTAATATGTGCTAATATTTAACCAGAAAACAGGAAAAGAAAATGCTGTACTACAAGTTAGGAACAGTGGCCTAGTGAATAGAACACTGGAGTTGGGCTCAGGAGACCATCATTCAGTTCCTGGCTCTGCACGGAATGTTCTTATGCGAGTCCGTCTACCCTGTGCCTGAGCTTCCTAACAGTGATAGTTCCTTATTTCACAAGGATTTTGTGAGAATAAAATACATTAATAATTGTGAGGTGCTCAGATACAATGGTGATGAGGACTATGTAAGTATCTAGATAGATGTGCAATGTAGACAACATAACATTGGTCTTGGATTCTTCACTCTTGCATCTCATGGATTCACATATTTTAAGAACAGAAGGAACAATCTTGTCTGACCCAAATAGTGCAGGCCAGAGCATTACATCCAGTCAATTGTGTGTCTCTTTTTAACTGTGAAATTTAGCATTCTGTTAACTGCCTTTGCAATCTCCCCCCCATTTTTAAAAAATGAGATATAAGCAAGACAGGCAATTTTAAATGTTAAACTTTACATGATCTCAATGAGGCTTCATAGTGCACACCTTTGTGAGGTGAATGGTGTCTGTCATGGGGTTCACTCACTGCTGGGGGCGCCTCCTCCTGGCCATCCTTGGGATTAGCTCTGGTCAGGCATTGCACCTTCCTCCGGCAGGGGGGGTCTCATGTCCTCCTCTTATCCTGTGGCTCTCTCTCGCTCCAGGAATCGCAGCCGCCTCTTCGTGACTCAGCCTTCCGGCCATGTCACTATGTGGTTTCCCCTTCCAGGGAGGAGAGTAACAAAGACTTTCCTGGACCAAATTGTCCCAGGCAGTCCACTGTCCTCTTCCTGGTACTTGCCACATCCCCAGTGGCTGGTAGGGGAACCTGGGCTATCCAGTCAGCAGCCAAGTCTGCACTCCTATTCCTTGCTGCTATTCCCCTGAGCCTTCACCTACCTTCCTGGCTTTTCCCCTCTCTGGATTTGCCAGCCTCCCAACTGCCTCCACTCAGGGAGTGACTGCAATCTACTTCCCTGCAGCTTCCTTTCTGCTGCCCGCTATTTGGCTTTATAATGGCCCTACCTGTTCCTGTTCAGCTGAGCTTTCTTCCAATTAGTTCCCTGCTCCTTGGCTCCTCCTCCAGGTGCAGCCTGTGGAGTTAATTGGCCTGTCTGGCCATCTTAACCCCCTTTCAGTCCTGTGTGGGATGGACATGCCGTCACAGTGTCCAAGACGGCATGTTCTTATATTTGATGCTGCTGTTGTTTGCCTGGTAAACGTTTTCTGCTAGGCTGGAAGGCAAGGGTATATCTTATGTCAGGGTTCAGCAACCTTTCAGAAGTGGTGTGCCGAGTCTTCATTTATTCACTCTAATTTAAGGTTTCGCGTGCCAGTAGTACATTTTAACGTTTTTAGAAGGTCTCTTTCTATAAGTCTATAATATATAACTAAACTATTGTTGTATGTAAAGTAAATATGGTTTTTAACATGTTTAAGAAGCTTCATTTAAAATTAAATTAAAATGCAGAGCCCCCCGGACCGGTGGCCAGGACCCGGGCAGTGTGAGTGCCACTGAAAATCAGCTTGTGTGCCGCCTTTGGCACGCGTGCCATAGGTTGCCTACCCCTGTCTCATGTTGAGATTGCTGTATCATTGTGCCGGAAGAAGATAAAAAAATGAATTATATGAAAGCATGTAATTTAGAGAAAAGTGTAAAGAACCCTTTCTCATGGGGTCAGCAAAGCAATTTTCTCTGCCAGTGTCTTTTTCCTGTTCTGGATATAAAGGTAGCCTTAAAATATATTTAAGAATGCTAAGTTTCAGCGGGACACAATCTTTCTTTCCAAGTAAATTGTCCCAGTAGCAGCCTCTTCCCCTTCTAGGCCCCCCTGTGTTATCTTGGAAGAATATGCAATTATGTCACAGAGAGGGCTGAGCTTATTTTGGCTCTAAGATTTTAGTAGGTGCCAGTGTCTTGCTCAGCAGTTGACTTCTTAACATTATTTTTATCTCCAAACCAAGAACAGAAATGGAAACATAATGGAAGTTTTTTCACTAACTTTAAATGTAGTGTGTGCTGAGGAGGCTCCTACAACAGAATATTTACTTTTCATCCACAAATCTGACAGATTTAGAACTTATTTGGGGCACTGGGCCCTATTCTTGATTTAAAAAAATACTATGAGATCTTGAATGATCACCTGTCATCAAATCAGTTTCATTACTTGATTCAGGAAAGTAACCTTTACAGAGTAAGTGTCAAATGTGTTCCTGAAGTGACTTTCACTCAAGGGGAGAAGATACAACAGGATTCCTTACCAGTCAGCTGTATAGGTAGAAAAACTCACCTTTTGGGTTGGATGTGCATGAGGTTGGAAGGGTGACTGGCTTCAGAATGCAGAGTTGGAAATGCCTGGGGCCATGTCTACATCCTCCATGAGTGAGGATAAGGTCCTAAAAATAAGAGTGCTTGCTTTAATGTCTGGAGTTGACTGGAGACAGTAGCCAATAAGTCCCTCTCTTTTGCTGATATTTTTTATTATGAGTGATAAAAATTTTCTTATGCAATATGTTTTCCCTCCTGTCCATTGTCCCAAAGGAAAGACAAAGAACACTTGTGCTACAAGTTTGCTATGTTGAAAATGTTTCAAATATCTCTTTTGCTCCCATTTAAGATTTCCTGTTAAAGTTTTGTCTTTACCTTTTCTTTCTCTCCTGCTTTTTCCCCCCCAAGGTCTTGGGATATGAGTAAATTTCTGAATATCCAGTGCCGTATCAGCCGTATCAAATATCCCTCTTTTGCCAAAAAGTGGATCAACATTCGCAAATCCTATGGAAACTTCTACAAGGTTTGAATTGATTGCAGATTCTCTGGGGAAAATTCAGTCTAAAGTTGGAATAAGTAAAGTCTTGCACACATTTTTATGTCAATTATTTTTTATACTCTGCTGGGTCAAGCTGTAAGACCTTCCAGTTTGTATAATTTCAGTAGCATTTATTTAGGTTGCAGGGCCTTAACAAAATGCTAATTTTGAGCACCCACAGCCTCTGTTGAATTCTTGAAAATCAGACCACTGCTTAGGTGTTTAAATAAAGATTTAAGACTTTAACTTTAGTGTCCTATCTTTGAAAATCTTAGCTCATGTTTTCACTGTTGTAACTTGAAGCAATCTTTTGTACCATACTGGTGCTCCTGGAGCTGTGTAGCTCTACCACGCTGGAACTAGTTCACCCAGATGTGATCATGTTTAGTATTACTGTACCAATTACTGCTTTACGTCTTGAAAAACTGTACACTACAAAGAGCTACTCTCACAATTCCTATGTGAATTATAGTAGGTAAACAGCATTATCCCCATTTTCTGAGACACAGAATCACGGGGGGCATGGGGAGGAAAGAGAGATTGCAAGACTTGCCTAAAGTCACAACAGATCATGCGGAGCTAGGATTAAAATCAGGAATACTTAACTCATTTACTACTAGACCATGCTGCTGCTTTTTATCCTGATGGGGCTTAAGCTGCTATACTTGATCCTTTGAGGCTCTAATGAGCTCTGAGTTTAGCAGCCTGGTTAGGCTGTTCAAATCAGAATAGGGCCTGACTTACCATCTGATTCCATCATGGCAGTGAAACCACTGGATTACGTAAAAGCCACTGTAAATCAATTTTGGAATTAATTCATCATTTCCTCTAGATTTCCAAACAGTTTCTTATCCAAAGAGGCTGCAGTGTTGAAGATCATTTCAAACTTTTTGATAACCTCTTCCAAACTCCTCTTGAATGTATGTAAAATAGTAGAAGGTAGTAGAGATGTTATAATTAATGTTATGTTAAAAGTGTAATGCGTGACTTACATTAATTTTCTGGGAGACAATTGGATCTCGAATTTTACCTTTTTAATTGAACTGTGCATAGTAATACATCATTGTGAAATATCCCACAACTTGCATGTATGATTTTTTTTCCCTTCGAGGCACTTATCTATGTAACTGTCACTATCAGAGTTGTTTGTTGCCAGGTTTTGGCAAATACACAGAACACTGATAATGCTGGTGCTAAGTGGAAGGGCATCTATCTTCCAGTGCCCTGTACTTTGCAGGATTTTTTTTAAAAACCAAATTTCACATTTTAAAGAAAATTAAGAATATTATCAGAGAGTCCTGTGGCATATATTATGTATTTGAACTGCAGCAGTGTCATCTAGTAATTAGACAAGTGAAGGACTCGGAATCAGGACTCAGGGTCATCTGGGTTCTGGTGCTGGTGTGCCCTGTGCCTTGGACAAGTCACTTAAGCTTTGACTACACTAGGGAAATCTTTGCAAAAATTTCTCACCATTGCTAACACTGGTCACTTAACATTACTGATCACCCAAGTGTAGATGAGTCACCAGTGTTTTGAAAATCTTCCCTCATGGTGCTTCTAACTCCCTTGGGCATTTTTGAGAATGCTCCGTGTCAGTAAGCTGCTGCTCTGAGCAGTGTCAGATAATACGGTGCTTGGAATACTGGTGGCAGTCTGTCTACTCATGGCTCCTACGGTTGCCAGCACTGGCAAAACTGAACTAGAGTTGGCAGTGGTGGGAAACTTTTGCAAAAATTTTCCCTAATCTAGACAAGACTCTTATCTCTGTGTGTCTGTATCCTCATCCGTAAAAAGTGGATACTCCTTTGCTACATCACAGAGATGTTCTGAAGTTTGCAGTTTGCAGAGTGCTTTGAGATATGAACCAAAAGTGGCACAGCAGTGCTAGGTAGTCATAGACCCACAGTAGTATGAGAACGTATGCAGGATAATGTAGAGTGTTTCATGCTGAGATTTTTTTTGTCTGATTTCTTTAACGTGGTTCATTTTCTTTGTCAGGTTCCCAGAAACCAGACCAAGCTAACAATCATGCTTGAAAAGCTGGGAATGAACTATGATGGGCGTCCTCATAGCGGACTTGATGACTCTAAGAACATTGCACGGATAGCTATACGTATGCTTCAGGATGGATGTGAGCTGCGTGTGAATGAGAGAATGCATGGTGGGCAGCTAATGAGTGTATCACCCTCTGCCCCAGTAGAGGGAGCCCCTGCTCCGCAGATGCCCCGTTTTAGAAACTAGGTGTCGAAACATGCTGTATTATGGACCAATATTGAAGACTTAAATTAGGAATTGTTAATACATCTTATCACGTGGCCATTTCAATGAACCAGTTCTGCAATGCAAAATCTAAAAGCACCTTAAACAACTATCTCTGTTAAAATAAATGGGGGAGCATATGAACTCTGTTAATTAAAACTTGTGCTACAGCACTTTTCATGCTGATAATATTTTTGTAAGTTATCTTGGCACCTTTTCATACAAGGTCAATGTATAGTATGCTGGCAGGATGTTGAGATTTCTTTTTATGTGTGTCTAGAATAGTTAATTGAAAAATACAAAGTGTGGTTAGCCAGTGTGCCCTCTCCCTCCCCCAGCTCATAAGAAAGAGGATGGTTGTAGTAATGTTTAAAAAACAAATGTACTGCAATAGCTTTTAGCATCTTGATTACCCTTTGCATACATACAATGCACTTCCAGAAGAACTGTACAGTACCCTGACCAGACTGGCTTTATCTACTGTGCACATTTGATAGCAGCAGACAGCCTCCTCTTTTTATGTAAGATAGGAAAGGTGGGGGCATTCTTTACTGTTTTAATTGCTTTAAAAGCATTGGAGAGGGGAGGGTCTTTTAAGGAATACAGTAGTCAGTTTCTGTCTCTTAAATAATTGAGTAGCATTGGGTGGCAAAAAACTGTATTGAATAAAAAGTTTTCATCCAGCTATTGGGATTAATTGATTTTTTTAATGTACATATAATCTGTCTGTAAAAAGGTTTTAGTATTCAGAATTTCATGTACTTCTAGGTAATGGGTCGGTCCGCTTATTTCTTCTCTTCTCATTCCAAATCAAATTAAGTGTAACTGTTTAATCCATACCAGTCACCAGGACTCTAAAGAAAGAGTGAAGTAAGAATACTTACAATATTGAACATAATGTAGAGTATGGCTTGGTATACTTGTAGTGTCACTTGGATATTCTGTAAAAACTGTATGGCCAAAGAAATACCAACTGCATTTATGTAATGAACCATACCAAACAGTCGTGAAAATGTCAACCTTGATGTATTTTAAAGAAGCCTTATTGAGGGCGCAGGAACAAACCATCCCAATGTTCAGAAAGAATAGCAAATATGGCAGGCGACCAGCTTGGCTTAACAATGAAATCTTCGGTGAGCTTAAATTCAAAAAGGAAGCTTACAAGAAGTGGAAATTTGGACAGATGACTAGGAGGAGTATAAAAATATTGCTAGAGCATGCAGGGGTGTAATCAGGAAGGCCAAGGCACGATTGGAGTTGTAGCTAGCAAGGGATGTGGAGGGTAATAAGAAGGGTTTCTACAGGTATGTTAGCAACAAGAAGAAGGTCAAGGAAAGTGTGGGCCCCTTACTGAATGGGGGAGGCAACATAGTGACAGATGATGTGGAAAAAGTTGAAGTACTCCATGCTTTTTTTGCCTCGGTCTTCACAGACTAGGTCAGCTCCCAGACAGTTGCACTGGGCAACACAGTATGGGGAGGAGGTGAGCAGCCTTCAGTGGTGAACGAACAGGTTAAGGACTATTTAGAAAAGCTGGACATGCACAAGTCCACGGGTCCAGATCTAATGCATCCAAGGGTGCTGAGGGAGTTGGCTGATGTGATTGCCGAGCCATTGGCCATTATCTTTGAAAATTCGTGGTGATCGTGGGAGGTCCCACAGTATTCTTGCAAGCAAGTTAAAGAAGAATGGATTGGCTGAATGGACTATAAGGTGGATAGAAGGCTGGCTAGATTGTCGGGCTCAACGGGTAGTGATCAATGGCTCGATGTCTAGTTGGCAGTTGGTGTCAAGCCAAGTGCCCCAGAGGTCGGTCCTGGGGCCGGTTTTGTTCAACATCTTAATGATCTGGATGATGGGATGAATTGCACTCTCAGCAAGTTCACAGATGACACTAAGCTGGGGAGAGAGGTAGATATGCTGGAGGGTAGGAATAGGGTCCAGAGTGACAAATTGGAGGATTGGGCCAAAAGAAATCTGATGGGGTTCAACAAGGACAAGTGCAGAGTCCTGCACTTAGGAAGGAAGAATCCCATGCACTGCTACAGGCTGGGGACCGACTGGCTAAGCAGCAGTTCTGCAGAAAAGGACCTGGGGATTACAGTGGACGAGAAGCTGGATCTGAGTCAGAAGCTTGCCCTTGTTGCCAAGAAAGCCAACGTCATGTTGGGCTGTATTAGTAGGAGCATTGCCAGCAGATCGAGGGAAGTGATTATTCCCCTCTATTCGGCACTGGTGAGGCCACACCTGGAGTCTTGTGTCCAGTTTTGGTCCCCCCACTACAGAAGGGTTGTGGACAAATTGGAGGGAGTCCAGCGGAGGGTAACAAAAATGATTAGGGGGCTGGGGCACATGACTTACAAGGAGAGGTGGAGGGAACTGGGGTTATTTAGTCTGCAGAAGAGACGAGTGGGGGGGGGGGTTTGATAGCAGCCTTCAACTACTTGTAGGGGGTTTCCAAAGAGGATGGAGCTCGGCTGTTCTCAGTGGTGGCAGATGATAGAACAAGAAGCAATGGTCTCAAGTTGCAGTGGGGGAGGTCTAGGTTGGATATTAGGAAACACTATTCACTAGGAGGATGGTGAAGCACTGGAATGTGTTACCTAGGGAGGTGGTGGAATCTCCAACCTTAGAGGTTTTTAAGGCCCAGCTTGACAAAGCCCTGGCTGGGATGATTCAGTTGGTATTGGTCCTGCTTTGAGCAGGGGTTGGACTAGATGACCTCCTGAGGTCTCTTCCAACCCTAATATTCTATGATTCTATGATGTCAAAATCTGTTAGTGTAAAATTAAACTTCATTCCATTTGGGGCCTTGCTGATAATACAACTCCATTTTCCACTGATACTTAATGTATGTTTTAATTAGGCCAAGGCTTTCTTCTGTTTGTTTGGCTTGGTAGTTGCTCTGCACTTGAGTATTAATTGACTTGAAATTATAATTTTTTGTCCTGAAAATCAAAACAATTCAATTTTTGTCATTCCAGAGTCAAAAAAGTCAGAGAAAGGAGCATTCAGGTAGTTTGTTCTCCCTCTGGCAAAAATACTTATCTGCCATCTATATTCATAGTGTGACAAAGTTCTGTCCTTGACTCCGTGGGTCCTGCGTTTCCTGACAGATTTTGCTAGCCTCAGAGGCTCACTGTGACCCTCCACGTAGCCCTTCTCTCTCTAGAGGCAAGGTCACAGTCTACTGAGCCATTTTCATTATAAGCCAGCAAGGGAGGTAAGGAGAAACAACCCTCCCTCGCACAGTCTCTGTTGTCTCCCAGTATCAGTGATTAATCAGGGAGGGGAGGGAGGAGCCCAGACCCGCCCTCTACTCCGGGCTCCAGCCCAGGGACCCTAAAATTAGCAGCTGTGGAAGCTGACTTTTTGGAAATAGGACGTGTACAATTCCCTGGGCTACTTCCCCACAGCAGCCCCCCACTCAATATCTTCTTCACAATTACCTCAGGGCATCCTTCCTTGCACCTGAGATGGATTCGTACTACTTCGTTCCTCCAATAGCACGGCTCCCTCCTATAGCTCCTGACACCCACCCCGCACTGACTGACTGACTGGCTTTTAACTAGTTCCAGCCAGTCCTTGATTGGCTTCAGGTGTCCCAATCAATCTAGCTATCTCCACTACTTTCTAGAAGGATCTTAATTGGCCCCAGGTGTCTTGATTAACCTGGAGCAACTGACATTTGGTTACCATGGTACCAGGGATTTGTTTAGCCTGGGGCTAACATACCTGTTCCTCACTACTTTACTGTAGCCATCTGGCCTTGCCCCATCACATCTCCTCCCCCTCTGCTCAACACTATAGAGTTGGGCAACTTGGGACGCCAGGCAGTGTGCCCGTGACAGACCATCAGCGTTGCCATGGTGGCATCCAGCCCTGTGCCGTATGCGGAATTGGAATGGTTGGAGGGATAAGAACCACCTGGTGACCCTTGCGTTCTTTTCCTTATTCCACTGCATCCACTGGAGGGGTGCATGGTCCGTCACAAGAGTAAATCGCCAGCCTAAGAGGTAATAGCGCAGTGTCTCCATAGCCCATTTGACAGTAAGGCATTCTTTCTCAACTACTGCGTATTTCTGTTCTCTTGGGAGAAGCTTTCTGTTTAGGTAGAGGATCGGGTGTTCCTCTTCTCCCACCATTTGCGACAGAACTGCCCCCAACCCCACCTCGGAAGCATCTGTTTGTAAGATAAATTCCTTGTTAAAGTCCAGGGCTATGAGTATGGGGTCATTACAGAGGGCCGTCCAAAGGTCTATGAATGCCCCCTCTGCTGCATCGGTCCACTTCACCATGTCTGGACCTCGGGCCTTCACCAGGTCTGTTAGGGGACTTGCCATAGTGGTGAAATGGGGAATAAAACGTCGGTAGTAGCCTACCACGCCTAGGAATGCACGGACCTGCTTTCGGGTCAGCCGGGGCCAGTTTTCAATCGCCTCTAGCTTATTCGTTTGGGGTTTCACTATGCCCCTCCCTACAATATATCCCAGGTACCTAGCCTCTGCTAGCCCTATGGCGCATTTAGCGGGATTAGCAGTGGGGCCAGCCCGCCTTAAGGTGCACAGTACTGCCTCAACTTTCTCCAAGTGGGTTCCCCAGTCTGGCGTATGGATGATGAAATCATCTAAGTATGCAGCTGCATAACTAGTTTGGGGGCGCAGCAGCTTATCCATGAGGCGCTGGAATGTGGCCGGGGCCCCATGTAGCCCAAAAGGGAGGACGGTGTACTGGAATAGCCCATCCGGGGTGGAGAACGCTGTCTTTTCTTTAGCTTCTTTGGTCAGGGGAATCTGCCAATACCCTTTTGTCAGATCCATGTAGTCAGGAATCGGCCACTACCCAGTCGGTCAACCAGTTCGTCGATGCGTGGTATGGGATATGCATCGAATTGGGATACTTCATTCAGTCGGCGAAAGTCATTACAGAATCTCATGGTACCGTCAGGTTTAGGCACTAGAACAATTGGACTGCACTACTGACTGTAAGATTCTTCAATAACCCCTAATTCTAACATTTTCTTTACTTCGGCCTTGATTTCTTCTCTTTTGGTTGCTGGGATTCGGTAGGTTCTCAATGTTACCTTGGCTCCGGGAATCGTGCGGATACGGTGACAGGTCTCAGTCGTCCGCCCCAGTTTTGTAGAGAACACATCTCGGTTGCGATTAATCATGTCAGCTGCCTCAATCTTTTGGATCGGCGTCAAGTCGGGTGATATCCTCACTTGCTCATGTAAGTTATCCTCCTGGGGAAGGGTCTCCTGGGTGACTAAGCAGGCCTCTCGATCATGCCAAGGTTTTAGAAGATTGATGTGGTAAATTTGCTCCGGTTTCCTGCGGCCTGGCTGCCGCACCTTATAGTTTACCTCTCCCACGGCTTTGATCACTTCGTAGGGTCCCTGCCACTGGGCCAACAGCTTACTTTCTGCTGTGGGCACCAGGACCATCACTCGATCCCCTGGTTGGAACCGTCGAAGCTTTGCTTGGTGGTTATAATGGGTTTGTTGGGTTTCCTGTGCTTTCTCCAAGTGTTCACGTACAGTGGGTGTAACTCGGGCTATCCGATCCCTCATCTGCAGAACATGCTCGACTATGTTCCTTCTGGGATTTGGCTCCTCTTCCCAGGCTTCTCTGGCTATATCCAATATGCCCTGGAGGTGGCGCCCGTATAGTAGTTCGAATGG